AGTGCATAAATTTTTGGGATTGACCGTATAGCCAATACATCCTTAAGATGTATAAATTACGACGTTTATGGCATGGTCGCAAATAAATCGGATCTAGGAATTAACATTCCACGAGATTGTTTCCTGCTTTCTCCGGATCACTCACAACGGTCACGGAGAACCGTCGACAAGCATGAGGAAAAAGGAGAAAAGGGCCATGGCGACGATTATAAATCGACTACCAGTGCCCGACTTCACCGTGACGAATCGTGCCCGCCGAAAAAACAGGCTGCGTGACTCTTTTTCGAGAGATCCTCGCCTCGTCAGCCACCTTACGTTACAACAAATGATGTCCTCGATTAAGAGAGACCGGCTCGTGGGTCGTGACAGATTTGTTACAGACCGTTAGAGAGCGAGTTACGAGGTTGCACGATTCGATTTCGAACGATGCTCGAGTTTACAATGATCCTAATTGCGAGATGGTCGCTAGAAGGGGGACGATAAGGAGGCTGCAGCGAAATCCACTTTCAAATGTAATTAAGATTATCTCCAGCTCGGCGGAGTAATCGGCGTAACTTCGTTAATTTACGGGACGCGTCCGAGCGACGGCGAGGAACGCGATGACCGCGGTTCAAGAATGGACTGGCTCTCTTATCCGGGCATCGGACTGCGAGATCCCTCGGAGCAATTTGACTGAGTGACTGTGCCGAACGCCAACAATGGACAGACGGGTTTGAGTATCGAAGTAGCCACGAAATTGTCGGCTCGAGACAAAGACGCGCGAAAACGAGGCCCATTCACCGGACAATTTGTAGATCAATCAAGGTTTATTCTATTCGAACTTCATTGAAATCAATCCATCGCGTACAGTTTGAATCGCTTCGGACACAGAGACGCGATTTCAACACGTGTGAGTGTGAAAAAGAAATCAACATAATAAGTTATCCGAGAAGTTACAACCCCACGCGAGATTATGCAACCGGCGATCTCAAAGGCGACCTCTCCTAAGTGCATAGATCCTCTGCAGACGTTGCAATAGTCGCTGGGCGGACTTGGGAATGGCAGGTTGCCTTTACTGCGAGTGCTCGAGACTCCGAGCAACTACCGATTCCCCGGGGCTCGTCACGACGTCAGGTACATAATAGCCGAAGCACCCACGCCTCTTTTGCACACCTACGACCCGGGAAACGCGAAGCGCGTGTCTCTGACCTCGTTCGCACTTTTCCACCGCACCGTCGATTCCGCTTTGTCTCTAGCAGGATAAATATCTAGATAAAATATTCGACGAAGAGGAAGAGGAAGACGCGGCGATCGGTGAGATTGAAGCCGTTGAACTGGCGAAAAGATCCGCGGAATGTGTGTTGGAAAGTTCGAGCGAGTCAGATGTCAGAGACGTTCAGGATTGTCTCTTCTGCCTATTTCTCTTCCGTTCGACTTCTCAAATTCCTGGCTGTACGGTTTTCCCTATCTGCGTTCCGATACGTCACGATGACTAGATTAACGGCTGGATCGAAAGATGCCGATCTCCTTTTCCGTGAATCTCCGGTCGGAAATGAAACGGACCGCGTCGCACGGGTCTCGACGCAGATCAAAGCTGCATACAATGTAATAAACGACGATTGCCCGGGGCGCGCGGAGTCGTCCCGCGTAAATCGTTTGTAAAAGCGTTCATTAGGTCCGCGAGGCTAATTGCGTTTTAATTGCTATCCCGCGCAACGATTCCTCTCCTCCTATTGCGTGCCCCGACGGGAGGAGGAAGGGACGCGAGAGGAGCCCGTGGGCGAGAATCGCGTCTGTCGTCGAGGAGAACGAAGGGAGATTCAATTGCGCGTACAGTTAGCGCGCGTGGGCGATAATGACGCCGCGGGACACGTGCGTACACGCGGGCCGAGGCCCCTTTTGGTACCTTCTCGCATAATCTTCCTTCGTAGCCGAGCCCATATCGATACTCGATTGCTCAGTTACGCTCGACCAAGGCCGAGCTATATCCGCGAACTCATTGTAACTTCTCGTCGCTTTGTATTCCTACGGTCCACAGGATCGAGGCTACTGCCTCTCTTTAGATGTAAAGTGGCTTTAAAATCTTATCCTTGCACCCGAGGTGCAACACCGTTAAAATATTGAGCAAACTTTTGATGCATCGGTGCTAAGTTCGCGGTGAACGAACCAAAGATCGGAGATCTCTTTTACGAAACGACGGACGCCTCTGGCTTATCGAGGGTCGCCATTAGACCCTTGTCTCCGATCCATTCATACGTTTTCACTTTACGCCACTTAACCCTCGCGTTCACCTGTCCCGTTCATTAAGCCGGCGACTTTTGCTCGACGTCGCACGGGTGTCGCACGATTTATCATCGTCGCGCGACAGACCTCAGCGTTTCTGCATCGAGCGACGTCCATTAGTATGGAAGGTATTCGGCACGGACGGTCGCATTCGAACGAGCTTCTCGTTCCGTGTCGCGGTATCTCGGAACCCGAAATTAATTAGAACGACTTTCTAAGCGCGGTAATTACTCGGCTCCCGGAAGAATTCCGCGCGTGCCTCGCCAATCGATCGAACGGTTCATCGATAGAGAATCATCGCGTGGGACATAAAACGCGAAGATATAAAGCCTGTTAGGTTGTCGCAAAAATAACACTCGACGACACAAAAGTCTTTTTTTTTACCGTACTGTGTAAAAAAAAACAGATACAACATAATAAGAGCGAAACGTCGGCTGCATAAAATATAGAACTCGAAAATTAATACGGGAACCTTGAGGCACACCTGGTATCGCGGGTTGTTGAACTTTCACTATCAGCGGCTGATAAAAAGACACGGCATTCCGTTTAAAAAACGATACTGACCTTGCCGTCTCGTTACAGTTTGACAAAAACATTTGCCGCGCTTGTAAAAAAATACCGGAGGGAAAAGCGATAAAGATATTTTCCTTCAGACCGCCGAGCGGGCAATTACATTTATGTTTACGAGGAGTTGATAATGACCAGCACGAAAGCGTAATCGCCGCGTGTGGCAGCGAAATTCTAGCACTGCGCGGCGTTCCTTCGCTTTCAAATGCATTTCACAGTGGAGAGTCTGAAGATATATTCTGTGAGTCAGCTCGAGGCGACGTTAAAGTTCCACGCCCGACGGGACGCCCAAGAGTGCAAAGATCCGACGTCGGAAAATAGTACACCAAGGGTAACTAATCCGCCGCGGAGTTCCTAACCGAGGTTCGAGTGTCCGGAAAGTGAGCACGAACTGCCCGAGGGCCGAGCCAACGTTTAACGAGCCCTGGGAATTAGCTTAAACCGAGCCGTTTCCATCCGAAGCCTGAGCAGTTCCTACGGGATTTCTTGTTCATTCATTATACACGAGACATAAATAATAGCTGCTTATACGGCGCTCAGGGATAGGCGTCGTTTATGTTTGCGCATTCCTAAACGGCCCTTTAACCTGTTAGCTTGACTATATGCTTAACTCACGATTGTCAAATCTTAGGGTCAAGCCACATGACGGACGCTATGTTGAAACCTGTCTTTTGCACTTTCTTCTATTATCTTTCCTATACAACAAGGGATCTCCAACTCCTTTTTTGTAATACATAAATAAAAATACAAATTATATGTTCCACCAAAAGCATTTTCTAATTAAAAATCAATAAGAGTTTTTATAACCAAAGAATTTAATTTAGTTATATTATTTAATTATAATAATAAATAAATGAAACTTTTACATTATAATAAAATTTAACACATGAGCAGATATTAACGAGAGTCATTATTGATGAGGATTAATGCGAAAGCCAGAAGTTGTACAACCAAAAAACAAAACCAGAAAACAGCAAAAACTGCGCTGATAAATTGGAGCACACAGTAACTCATGAATTTATTAACACAAGTTTTTAATACTCGACAAGTTTTCTGTTGTCAGGTTTATGATTATGAAACGAGCGTAGAAGTGAACGAACTAAATGTATTCCATATTAACACTTGAAGTGCCTCGTATCTGGGTGACGCATAAATTTCTATAGATAACTGGCAAAAATAACTTTGTTAAATATTGAAAACGATAATACCTCTCGTAGAAACATCCAACAAGTATTTACAGTTCAAATAAACTTTAGCAAAACGTATCGAGTCGACAATAGCAATGAAATTCCAAATGGAATTCCCACAAGCCGATGACTATTCGATCTTTAAGCCTTTAGATCTACCGAACTGCAATTAGTTTACGAGACCGAGGAATGCCAGTACGCGTGTAAAGTCGATGCAAACTCTTGCGAATTCGCGGGGCAGGATCGGCGATTAACAAGCCTGGGATCCTTCGCTATTGACCAATCGGCGAGTCGGCGCGAGCAATAAACTCGACGCGAGGACGATTGTGCAACCGTCGATGGAAGAATAGATACTGGAACGTTTCCATTCACGACTGTCCATGCCGTTTCTCTTTTTCGCCTGTCTAACGCGCACCTCTTAACGCGATTAATAGACTCCATCATTTTTCATCCGCGGACAGACACGTTATCAGTCCGTTCCGCGAAACCCGTGACATTTCAGCTTTTACCCAACCAATTCCAATAGATTTATAATTTTTAATAAAGAGACCCGGGACCTGAATCCGGTCTATCTGGAATCGCGATTCCTTAACTTGTCTTTAGCATAGAAATTGCGCCTGGGGTAAAGTCCTGTCGGTGCGAACTCCGTTTAAGAGCCGATGGAAAACGAAAGTATGGGAGTCGCAGGAGCGCATCTTTATGCAATCCACGGCGGACAATGAGGACATTGTCGCTGGTGGACGCCACAAAGCTGACCGGAAATTCATTGTTCTTATGGTAGTTGGAGCGATCGCCCTCTTCGCCGGGATTCCAGCGTCGCTAATATTAACGCGTTGTTACCACCCGGTTCGAGAATACCGTTCTGCGCAAGCTCCGCGAATCCTTCTTTGCTCCTTCCGATTCTATTTCAATCCAACAAGATAGAACACGCACACTACCGCGAGCGTATTCGAATATTTGTTCTGCTGATACGGCGAGGAGTCGAGGTCTCCGTTAACTTATGCGTCCCGGTTACAAGGAGAGAAAAACGTTCGGGGCCATTATTCGAGCGGTGGTCACCGTTTATTACGTGGGATACGTTTCAATGGGAGCAGATGGGGAAAATTGTCCTTAATTAGCGCTGCGGCCGGTAATTGCCGGCAATTCGAGTGATTGCGCGTTCGACGGTGAAACGACGTTATCCCCGGGGCGAAATCGGATGTCGTCGCGATTTTAACCCGAAAGACAAACAGTGGGCCAGCGCGGAGAGAGGATCGTACGGTGCATAAATCTTCCGGGTCGTAGCGATTAATTACGGCAGGAAGCGGGACCCTGTAATTAGATCCTCTCCTCGATGGCCTGCTCTCAGTGTTCACGACAATCCCTGCTCCGAAACCGACTGCACGACCGGCGGAATCGTGATCAAGCTCGATTTACACGCGTTTCGAAACCTCGTCCCGTCGCGTGGCACCAAATCCGCACCGTTTCGCCTTCACGTGACGCGAAAGCAACGAATTCGCGCTTACATGACTTTTTTCCCTCAAACGGCTAGGATAATCGCGTGACTTTTCTGACGTTTTAACCAGGCAAAGAGGGTGGAAAATATGGGTTTACGTTATTCGATTGGCGGAAGCCCTAAGCACGAATCTGAGACACCTAAAGAAGCGTAAAACCTGATTTTCTCGAGTAGGAAAGACGAATTTTCGCCACTTATGATACTCGAGACAAAACAAACCTCATTAATGTATCTCCTATCACTAAGGGAGAATAATTTGAAATCTCGTTGAATAATAGGAAAAACTAAACATTAAAACGAATTGGTTTTTAAGACTGGCGTGAATCCATATCTTTGGCCAATTTAGTGGGTAACATTGGCATTCCGTCTGCCCCTTAATTAGTCATCGAATGAAACGAGCATCGAACAGGAAATGTAATTTACATACGAAGTCAATTAATTTAAGTACGTGTACTGATTCGCACGCTGTTGTCTGAATATAAAATGTTAATTAAAGATCGTGTACAGTCCACGTTCAGAACGGAACAGAACGATTGAGATCGAAGCCCTCAAACGAGGACAGCTGCAATATCAATTAAACAACGAATGAAATAAAATTGTGGAAGCACAGAAATAATTGATAACTAAATATGAACTTGATGAAGCAATTAAATGATAAGAGAACACTACATGAGAAGCGCGTGCTCCTAATCGGATGCAGCGGTAACATGTTCGGACGTGGCGCCACGCGTGGAAGCGGTGGTTTCCGGCAGAACACACCAGCGTGTCGTTTGTAACCATTCCTGTGCTGCGGCTGCTGCCCCACTACGGTACCGCAACGTTACGGCGCAGGCGAACGACACAAGTGGAAGGCCGGCTTTAAGCAACGGTAACAAATGCAGACGCACCTTAAAGGCGGCCATGACGAGGACACAGTGTTACGACGACACGGAACAGGGCAAGTGACGAAGAACGTGCAAGTATCGGACGTCTCGTTATAAGTTACAAAAGCATTCGCAGTTTTTATTGTTGAAAAGTGGAGACCGGAAGTGTCGGTAGCGAGCGGGGGATTAGTAAAATGGAGAGGAAGCAGGTTCTGCGTCTTATTGAGCTGTATCGTCAACAGACTCTATTATGGGATCCGAAGTACCGAGATTGTCGCTATAAAGAGCGCAAGGACGAGGCCTGGGCAACCATCGGCCGCCAAATGGACATGCACCCGATCGACTGTCAGCGAAAGATGGAAAATTTAAAATCATCTCTCAGAAGGGAGACGATGAAAATACGAAGAAGCAAAGGGAGGGGTAAGAAAGTGGGTAATAATAATTATAGTAACGATCGAGATTAATGTTTATTTTATTAGGATCTGAAGATGTTTACGAGAGTCGATGGTTCGGGTTTGAGCCGTTGCAATTTTTGCTGAGAAAATACAAGCCTTACTCACAATCAGATGTGAGTAATTTAAATAACTTAATATTTCCTCAGATGAAAGATTTCTAATATTCAGAGAAGAAGCGAGGACGACGAAGCGGAAGTGGAACCGACTATTTTCGTGAACGTAAACGACGAAGAAAACGAAAATTCAATTTCGTCCGCGTCTTTGCCCGCGCATCCGACTGCGTTCGAAATCCATACTTTCCCGGACAGCGAAGGAGGTGGTACTACTTTGACTCCATTGCCGAAATGCCCACCACGGAAGAAAATTAAACTGGACTGCGAGAAATTAAACGAACCATCGGATCAAATTCCGCATGGTTCGACGAGGCGAACGGACGATCATAATTACCATTTCGGTAATTTAGTGGCGTCCAAATTAAGTCATTTCTCGGAAGAGGTGCAATACGCTCTGCAAGCCGACATCATGAATTTATTCCTCAAAGCGAAGCAGGGTTATTACGACAAAAATCTATAATTACGATAAAATTCTGAGCATGTCTCAATATCTAAATAATAAACGACTATCAAATATATATTTATATAAAAAATTGTAATTATAATAAATATTTTTGCTGTTCAAATAAATGGTTTATTCTATACATTCCCTACCAAAAGAAACCCGCATATCATTATCGAATACTGTGACAAATTGTTAGGGACACGAGTTGACATTAACAATTGGCATCCGGTGGGACGTGCAAAATCTCAGAATTTCTTTTTTTTTGTCCGATCTATTATCTATTTTTACAATAGGTCTCGTGACTCGAAAGCACCGTCACGGGAACATCGCGCACGCGATGTGATCATTTAGGAAACGGTTCTAAGTCAGTCATAAATAACGATAAAAATTTTCAAGAAGCAATGCTGCTTGTAATTGTAAATTAATATAATATCATTCCACGAAACAGTTAATTTTTTTAATTTTAAAAACAAGAGAGCGATACCGATTATAAGCAAAGGGGTCGCGGTACCGCGATCTAATTTCCAGACTGGTCTGTTACACGTGCGCGGGTACGTGGTACCTAAGTCGATACGCGTCGGCGCAGCCTGCATTCCGCGTTGCGCGCAAAAACGGTGAAATGTACGTTCGCTTCACTTCTTACCGTGTTAACCGCGCGTGTACACGATACTGATGCGATCACGATGCGGATAAACGAGGCATGCGATGCTCATGGAAATGTACTTACAACCGAGTCGCTCGAGCCGCTTTACAAATTGCCTCCGAACGCTGTTTAAAGATCGTACTTATTAGAAAAGCAAAGTCAATGCCGTGATATGAACCGTCGCGTGAGTACTAATGAAAACTCGGCTATTAAAACCGACTTGGATTCGTAAGTACATATTAAACACGATTCCATCTTTAGTCGTAAAATAAGGCTTCACACAATATTTACACAACTTCATATTAACGCAATGATAGATATAATATTTCATAACAGAACGGTTATTACAATTTTATATTATAGTTCTCTGAGTTTTAATAGTTTCAAAAGAAATTACGTGCAAACGTCGAGTTTATTGCTGATAATTAAGAACGAACTGCCTCAAGGACTTCGAGTTTTCTCCAAACGAGGCCCGAGGGCGCGAATCTTTGATCACACGAGTCTGAGGAAAAAAGAAGAAGCTTCCCTTCGCGCGTATGCTACCGTGCGCGTAAACGACGAACCGGTATAACGTTAATTAATCCTCGGCGCGGAATTACAAGAACCGGCATGACTCGAGTCGATCGTTATCCGTCGCACGACGCAGGTATATAGTAAGGATCGTTAATCAATATCCCGGATACGCGGGAAAACAGCGGCTGCCATTCGACACACGTGCGTGTCCCGGGCCGCATTCCGGGGAAAACAAAAGCGAGTCGAATTTTGCAGCTCCTATCTAATCGGATCCAAACGGGAATTTAACCGGGGAACTCTCTCGGGAGTGCGACGCCGACGTTAATCGTCGTCGCGGTCATGCAAACGCGGCGACAGACTAAGCCGCGAAACTCGCGTATCGGTTAACACGATTCGCGATCCGATATCTCGCAACTCGTTGATTTACAGCGACACGACTCGCCGCGTATTCGAAAGGGAGCGATCGCGAGAATGGTACCTAATGGGCTCTCGCCGGAGCTTTTTCGGCCGCTACTTAAGAAAGATACATTAGACGCTTTCACCGGGACGAATTAAATACGTGGCCACGGCGGCGTAACGATCTTATTGACAATGTCAGTTAATGGTTATCGCCCGGCAGTCGCCGGGAGCGATCTGAATCGGCGACTGGTTCGGAACAGGTTGAACAGTGGCCGCGCACTCGCGAAGAGGTTGATTTATGCGCGCTTATCGGCGAACAACTAAAATTACGCCCGATCTGTCATCGGCGGGAACAAATTGAGACGCCGTATAGGTAGAAACCAACATCGAGTCGAGGGAATTCGCGGGACGAAAAATGTTCCCCCGAGCACGGAAATCGCGTGACTCGATAAGTTTCCACCGATCTAACTCGAGGCATTAAATCCGCTCATGAACCAACAAATTGCGATTGCGAACTTTCATTAGTCTCAAGTTTATGGGCAAGCATACACCGCGTCATAATCTGATTGTACAACGCGGACGCCGGCTAATTCCCGTGTAATCTTCCTGCGAGGCTTAAACGGTAGTGCGATAAGAATCTGCGTTTGACGCGGGAACGCCCACCAGTAATCGTATGCAAATCGGCGTTGTAACAAGACTTACGCACGCGCCCGTGAAAAACTGGTGTGTGCTCGGGCTGCCGGGTTTACCGATACGATTTACGGGCTGAGCATCGCGGGCTACAATTTTCTTTAACTGTTCTTGGCACCATTAGCGACGGGAGAAACGAGACACGGTGAAAGTCACTCTCGGTGTGAGAAGAAAATTAATTTTCAATTGTGGCATTTAAATATGGCCGAGAAATGGTATACGTTTGTCCCTTGGATCGAGAGATCAAACATTGTCAAGGATGATGAATATCGCGCGACGGACAATCGCCTGACTGACACGAGAAACAACGGTGTAATCTTGGATCGTCACCGGAGACGAGGTTAATCGAATTCAGCTCGCCCCCACGCGACGAATTTTACAAAGGCCCCAGACTCTCCCGCGATAAATCGCCGGGCAGCACGCGTAAATCGTGATTTGTCCAGGCGGTTGCGTGCGAGGGTATTCCATTTGTATTGTCAATGCAATCAGCGGGCGATACAGCCCGGTTCACGGACACCTCTCTAGGTAAATCCGCATACCTACGTGTAAAACGATCCTCGTACGGTTTACGCTAACGAATAGACCTCGACCCGATCAAAATCCCCCGTGGAACGTCTTCATTCCCTTGGAAGCTGGTATATGAAACGAGCCAACGGAGCGTAATAGAGTTCTCGCGAGTCGACGATTTATTTTACCGAGAAAAGGTAGTTAAAACGGATGGGAAGACTTTACGACGGCTGGACGGCAATAACCGATGGGTATTTACAATAAAAGTACTTTATATAGAAGATGGTGACAATAGGAGTGTAAGAAATTCGTCGGAATAAGAGGAAGTCGAAGACTGTCCAGATTGTCAAGTCCTCGTGCGATCGATACTCTCAACGAGACACTCGATGGCTAGTTGATACCAAGTATATTGAAGACGTCGACTGTTTCACTCAATAGCGTGGGAGCAATTGTAAGGGAACTTGTTTTTCAACGACCACTAGGCAACGTGAATTAATAATAACACGATTTAATAAATCGAAAACAAGTCCGGAAGTAGAATTGCTCTACCACGTACAATTTCCAAAAAATTGCAGATTTCGTAAAAATGAATTAAAAATGATGTTTTTCGGAGGTAATTATGTAATACAACTATATCTACAACTTTTCTTTGAAGCATTTCTCGATATTTTGAAAAAAAAAATTTTCGATTTTTCCGAGATTTTTCCAAGGGATACCCCTTCAATTTCTTCCAAATTTTCGTTTTTTGCCAATAACTTCCAAACCGTAAGATCTACAAGAAAATTGCATCAGACCTTTCTTGTAGAGAACGACGAGATCTACAATTTCCCTGTAAAAATTCTTCCCTAGCTTCAATAGTTTACGAGTAATTTGCAAAAAACTGTTTTTTCGTTTTTCGTCAATAACTCGTTAACTATTGACGCTAGTGAAATAATTTTACATGGAAATTGTAGATCTCGTCGCCCCCTACAAAATGGTCATATATATGACCCCCTACGTCCATCCGTTCGGGAGTTATTGACAAAAAACGAAATTTTTTTCCAAAAGTTCGCCGTTTCGACGCTGGGATGGTCGGATTTTGTCAACATCAATAAAATGCCATATAATCATATGTAACTCATTAAATATCGAAATTAGAAGAAAAAT